TATGATTAGGTTTGTATTTATATGATTATATGCAACAGCATAGTATATTGTTTACTGTGAATGTTATATGACTAATTTTATTTTATTGTCATTTGAAATGATATGATATGATATGATAAGATATGATATGATAATTGTTTGATTTTACATTTACATGTCTTTTTTCATTTCATTCTTTTTTTTTTGCTTTTGATGCTTTTTACTCTTTTGTGTTTTTGTCTTTTCATCATAATATATGATAAAAAAAAATTTCTTTTTGCTGTGAATGTTTATAAACAATTTCAATAAATTTTAAAAAGAAAAAAATTCGCCTTTAAGACTTCGCATTTATTTCCATCACTAAATTTAATACTTGAAAAGTAAAGTGAAGTGCAAAAAATTGAATTACAAAAAAAAAGTTTATGAAAACTTTAATTCAAATTTTAATTTAAACTTCAATGAAAGCTTTTAATGTTTTTAATTTAAAAAATTTTTAATTCCAATTTTAAAAATTATTCGGAATAGTTCAATTGTAAGCTGTTTATGAGGCTAGATTAGAAGCAGCTGTCAAAATTTTTTTATCAGGATATTTTGAATTAAAATTAACTCGGAAAATTTCAATCCGGAAAAATTGGATTGAATAGAAAAACGAAGCAATAACATGACAATATTGAAAAAAAAAAGAAAATGAAAGGGAATAAGTAGTTTTGATGGATTTTTGTTTGAAATTAATTAACTTCACTAATAAGTGATAATGATTAGTAGGCTTAATTAGTGATTAGTAAGCTTAAAAGGTGACAATCACAGATTTTACACATTTTTCATTTCAGTTTTCTTTTTCAACAGAAAAAATTTTTCTCTGCTTCACTTTTTAAATTGCAGCTTTTTTAATTCCCAAATTTATTATATTTCTTCCCTTTGCAATACAAATCCATTTATGGCATCCCAGTTTTAATATGCAACTTTTTCTTAATTAATTACATTAATTACAATAACTATATGTCAACAATGCCATTTCGAATTATAAATTTTCATTCATTCATTGTTTAAAATATAAAAATGATGCAAAAAATTTTGCCCATCATTTTAAGCTTTTTTTCTTTTTTAAAATTTTTCTAAAATTTTTAAGCCATTAATATTCATTTTTTTTTTGTCGGTGAATTTTTGAATAAATTCAAAATGATACAAAAAAACTGAAATTATTTCAAACTTGGTTAATTTGAAATTTTTCATCATTCAAAAAAGAAAAAAAGGATCGAATTATTGTAATTTTTTTGATAAAATAATAGCTATTATAAATAATCGTTCTATTATTATTTTTCATTTTTCATTTTTTGCATTATAATTTTTTTATTCATTTGTCATTTTTTTTTGCATATTTTCCTTTTCTTTTTTTCGATGAAATATATTCTTTAAATGTATTTTCGGTAACTAATTAAATGAGTAATCAAATTTTAAATGAACAGTGAAATATATGAAAAACTGAAATTGTAATTGTTAATGGCAATTGCTACTGATGGTAATAATAATTGATAATATAATTGTAACAGGGTAAAATAAATAAAAGTAATATTAATATAAATAAAGCAGTAATAATAGTAATAATAATGAATAATAAGTAATAATAAATAGTGAATGATAAATAATAAATAATAAATAATAAATAATAAATAATAAATAATAAATAATAATAATGAATAATAGTAAAATAAACTAATTATAACGATACAACAATAATAATAAGGGAAGTAATTCCAACGTTTCACATATGGTTGAGCATTACTAATTAATTGCCACTGTATCACTGTGGAACTATTTATTGCAACGATCTTTTGAACCCCACTGATCTGTTGTCAACCATTCGTTGTTACTCAGCCATTGTCACCCGTCTGTTGTCACCCACCCGTCGTCATCCGTCCATTGTCATTTATCCGTTATTATTCATGCGTCGTTCTCATGTCCTTGAAGTATTGTTTGATGGAAAAATAATAAGCCAAACTTCAATATTAAATAGAAACAGAACGATTGCTTTGCATATATAATATTTGTTAAGTTCATAAATTTTAAATGGTTCATTTCGTTGTTATCAAATTTATCAGCTTCGGAATAATAAATGCAGCTAAATATATGTGCAAATATAGTGATAACAGCACTAATAGTAAACAACATTTATTATCATTATTATCAATTCTCTCTTTGTTATCAGTCAACATATATTAGTTATTTTTTGCAGGAAGCGAATTTCACGTAATGTATTAAATCGATGATAAATGGACATCTGTATAATTTCTAAGAAGGAATTTTTTTCTCGATCCGTTACCACAATATTTTCATTATAAGCTAATTAATCAGTCAATCATTTCATCAATATTTTAGAAAGAAAATAATTGCAAATTTTTTCGCCTCAAAAATTTTAATCTAAATTTAAACATGATTCTTCCAGTTAAAAGTTTCAATTTTCCAAGTATTCTATGGAATACTTTAAAGTAAGAGAATTAAAACGGATAAATATCATTTAATGAATCAAATGTTAGCCTATTTCGAGCGAGAAAATAGAATAATGGTGGAA